TTGCTGGGAGGCTGCGCCCTATGTGGTTGTGGACTCTTCTGCCATGGCCTGACCCTCCTGTGCGGGTCCCCAGGCTGATTCACATGACCTCCTTGCTGAGATGACTACACAGGTGGCCTTCTTTGGGGCTGCAGCTGTTATCCTCCTCTCTGTAGTCTAGGTGGAGGTTTGACCTGGTGACAGGTGGGCAGGGTCGGCTCCCCAGTGAGAGCCAGGGCAGTAGGGGCAGCTAGGGCAGCAGAGTGCAGGCTCTGGGCTGGGAAACTGTGACTCTGGGTTCGTGGGGAGGCTTGGTTATGAGAGTTTGGACTAGTGCTCTCTTCGTTGTGGCTTTCTTGTCTGTAAAGTGGGTACAGTGGCCATCCCTTGAAGCAGGCTGGAGGATGGGGTAGGAGGACACTGGGAAGCATGTGGTGCAGGGCAGGGGCCGGTGGTGGTCAGGCTGGTCCAGCGTGAGCTTCCTGATACCCCCCCACCCCCCGTCCTTGCTGGACAGGGGAGGAGATCCTGTCTTGTTTTTGTCTGCATTGCGTTTTCAGCTGCTTTCTAAACAGGTGGGCTTACTCTCCACCTTCTTAAGAACTGAGCTGTCGAGATGACTCAGGCAGGTTCTAGTAGCAGGTGGTTGAGGGGAGGTTCTGGGTCCTGGTCCGGGGGCCGTGATTGCACCTGCTGCCCAGTGTGAAAGCCAGCTACCAGGCACTGGCCCTGAGTGCCGCCATCTTCTGCCTTGCTGGCCACTTTCTGTTTCCCTCAAAAGTGCAGCTCCACATTTAAGGAGCCCCTAGATGAACAACTGCGGAGAGCCTGTGCTCAGGCAGTGGGAAGGGACTTGCCTCCATTGCCTTCTCCAAGGGGCCTGGAGCTGAGTCCTCCTGAAGCCCTGCCTCCCGGTGGCGCTGCCCTGGAGAGCCCTGGCCTAGGCAGGCTGCAGTCCTGGCAGGCATCCTCCTGTTGTGGGAGTGGGCATAGGAGCTGAAGAGGTGAGCTTGCAGGATGACAGGTGACAGGGACGCCGTGTTTCCAAGCAGCCTTTACTGGTCCTCGGTAGGCCTTCAAGGTCCAGACGTTAGCAATGAGGTTAGAACTTAGAAAAAAGAGGGAGAGGTTGTGTGGCCCTGGTGGTCTGAACCCCTTGGCAGTGCTACAGAGGGGACAGAACACAGCACTGTTCCCCAAGAAAACGCACAGAGCCGAAACATCTACTTCCCTTAAAAGTCGCCCCCAAATAATCCCTGTCGCCTCCTAGACTCTTCTGGGGGTCCCCTCAGGAACAACACTTTGCTTCAGATTTGATTCGATGCCCCAGCTAGCTGGGCCCCTGAGATAACAACACCTCACGCTTCAGAAGTGCCTTCAGCTTCCTTAGTGAAGTGTGCAAATTTGCCAAAATAACTAGGAGGTCATTTAACATAGACAGGCTTAAATTTTGTCTTAATTTTGCTAATGTCAACATAAAGGCTAGGTGGCTTGGCTCAGGCCATGCTGAGGTCACAGCACAGACGGATGCTTGGTTGGTGCCTTGTTTTTAGTCTAGGACTTTGGCAAACCCTGTACAGTGATAAATGAAATTTTCCTTTTGGTTGGAAAAAGCCGCGTTACTGTTGTTCTTGGTCGCGTAGCTGCGTTCCTTCACACTGTCAGCAGCCAGCTACAGGAGAGCCTCTGCAGAGGATACTCGCCTCCAAGACATTTATGTCCCAGAATTACATAATGACGACCTTATGTTTTCTTCTGTTTTCGGTTTTCTTTGAACATTCTCTTAGAATTTGCATTTAAGAAACCAGTTGAAATTAAAAGAAGTTTCAAGTGTTTTGCATTTTTTACAAAAATCAGCTAAGACGAGCTAGTCCTGGTTACATAGTCCCTAGAATCTCAGGGCCTCTGGCTTCTGACAGATGTGTGTTTTCAGCTGTCCATTAACATCTCCAAGGCAAACTGCTTCCTTCCTGCAGCTTCCTCCTCCTCAATCCCTGCCTTAGGAGGAGCTCAGTGGCCCCCTGTGGCCTGGAGGGGTAGGCTTGAGAAGCCGAGGACCTCCCAGGACTTCCCACGGAGTGCCTCACAGTTTGTTATGTCACCTCCAAGCTCTCGCCCAGCCTTCATCCTCTCTCCTTGATCCCCCACTGCAGGTTTCCTTGTCACCATCCCAGATCAGCCATCCCATGGGCCTGCCTGCCATCTGTCTCATCTACCCAACCCTCCCTGTCCCAGCTCTCTCCTCTGGTGGGGACTTCGTGCCTCCAGAGTTTCTCCTTGTCAGCGAAACCTCTAAAGCCCAGCCATCGCAGCTCTGCAGGCTTCTTTTGTGCCCGTCCCTCTTGCAGTCTACACCTCAGCCAATTCTTCGAGGAGATCCGTCCTGTGCCATGTGCTCCCCGTCTGCCCTACTCTGCTCCCATTGCTCCATCCTGGCTCCTGGGCCTGGGACCTTACCACACCGTGTTCTGTGCTCTCTGCTCAGAGCTCTGGAGCCTTCTCATATTGCCTCTGGAGCTGCTTCTACTTCCTGAGCTTCAGACACCTCAGGCCCACCCTCCAACAGGTCTACGGGTGCCCGGGTGTCCAGCGGTCCCTTCCTGTTCTGGTGCTGGGTGCCCAGTCTAGGTACACTCCGTGGGTGCCAGACTTCGTCCACAGACTGCCATCCCTTCAGATGTCAGTTGCAGGCACTGGGTTCCCAGGTTGCCCATGCGTCTGTCCCGCCTCACTTCAAAGTCAGGATTCCCTATCTGTCTCCCTTCCTGGATTTGCTGGAAGCACTCCCAGGAGGCAAGAGGGCATTTTGCTTGCCTTTGCTGTCAGATCATAAAGGCTGTACCTCGGGGACAGCCAGCCAGGAGAGCCATCACACAGGCAGGGTGACTGCAGGCAACCTGCGGACCTCTCCCATCTTGGGGGGTGAGGGGACGGGCTGGGATCTTCAACCCCATAGTGAGGGCCTCGTCTTCCTAGTTACCTACCTCACCTGAAGCTGCTGGGGGGGTCCCTCGACATCTCCTTATCATACAAGATTCCTTATCGTTCTGGACATTTCAAGGATTTGGGGAACCATGTTCCAAAACCCAAGGAAGAAGAACAAAATTTGCTGAAATTGCTGTGCTGCATCTCAGTAACATCCTGAGCTATAAATGGCTCTAGTCCTCTGCAACGCCTGGCTGTGTGTCCCAGGGAAAGTGTCATTTCTCACCTGCCTTCTACCTAGTGAACTCACTTCCTCGGGTCGGATCAGCTCCCCTCCCTGGCCTTTTGGGCTCACTGTCGTGTCCTGGTGTGAGGACCCTTGACCACACACTTGGTGCAGGGGCAGCTCCATCTTTAGCTTCTGCCTCAGAGATTTGGAAACAGACTTGAACAGGTAGCTCCAGGAGAAAGTTCATGGTGGCTTCATGCGCAGCAGTCCAGCGGTGACACCCCCTGTGCCGCTCCACAGGTGAATGCACGTTGGCTGTCTATGTGATCTGTATCCTAAACCTGGGGGCCTAAATTGCCATCTTTACACCAGATGTCATAACCCTACATTTTGGCCTAAATACAATGTGAAGACATCTAAATATCATGTGTATTTATTTTATTTTTAGGTATACATGACAGTAGGGTATATTTTGACATATTTTACACAAATAGAGTAAGTATGACTCGTTCAGTTAGGATCCCGTTGTTGTGGTTGTGTTTGACGTGGTGTTACATTGGTCACGCATTCATGTGTAAAGGTAGGAAAGGTATATCCAGTTCATTCTACCATCTTTTCTATTCCCATTCCCCTCCCCCCTTCATTTTCCTTTGTCTAATCCAGTGAACTTCTGATCTTCCCCTCCCTTATTGTGGGTTAGCATCCACATATTTTTATTTTTTTATTTATTCCAATTAGTTATACATGACAGCAGAATGCATTTCGATTCATTGTACACAAATGGAGCACGACTTTTCATTCTCTGGTTCTACACAATGTCGAGTTGCAGCATTGTTGTGCGGCCATACATGTACCTAGGATAATGATGTCCATCTCATTCTACTATCTTTCCTATTCCCACCCCCCCAACCCCTCACCACTATGGATCAGCATCCACCTATCGGAAAACACATATTTTTTAAAAGATGATCTTATTTACTTTGAGAGAAAGGACACATGAATTAGGCATATTTCAGACTGTTTTTTAGGCATTTAATTTTGTGTTTTGCTCACGTGCTTTTCAGTATAATAAAATACAGAAGCATGAACTCCCTCCTCTCCTACTTGGTGGATTCTTGAAAAACAGTGAAATCTACAATTCTGAATCGTACCTGAAGATGCAGAAATGCCAGGGATTATCGATGTTTTAAAGCCAAATACTTGAAACAATAAAGCTGTACATAAGACATATTTAAATTGAAACAAAATACTTGCTTTTGAGTTTTTTTTTTCTTTTCTTTTCCTTTTAGCACCTTCTGAGTTGATTCTGTGTACTGCAGGTGTTTTAAAATCCTATATGATAGCATTACATGAGGTGATCTGGAAGAAATATAAACACTTTTCATTGTTTTTTTCAGATTCTTTACAGAGTTGGAAGCAAGACATCAGAATAACATCTTCATCGATGACATCAGTGACATTGTGGAGAAGCACACAGCGTCCACCTTTGACCCCTATGTGAAGTACTGCACCAATGAGGTCTACCAGCAGCGGACGCTGCAGAAGCTGCTGTAAGCCACGGTTTCAGTCGTCCAGTAGCCTGAGCTCATGGATCAGAATGAATTGATCCCTAAATGATATTTAGAAATGCCTCCTGGTGAGCCGTTTTCCAGGGAGAAATATTTAAGAGGATTACTTTTGGATGTTCATAGATGAAGTCTAGTCTGTGGGGTGCTTTTCTCCGAAGTACTTTATGGTTTGCTGCTGTCCTTGGGTTTGATTTCCTTTTGTTTTCCCTAGTTGTTAAAACGTACGGAGGTGATCTGCACTCACCGGCCCAGTTTTCTAAGCCAGTAACTGGCAATATATTGTTTGCCTGGGGCCCAGAGAGGGTTCTTAAGTGGGTAGGATGGAAATGGGGCTCTGGGCTTCTCTGTCTATGGGCACTCTTTCTGTTGACCACTGGAGTGTTTCATAGGAGCTCCAGAGTCTCTTCCACCTTTGTACCTGTGCTGAAGAGAGGAGGGAGGGCATAAAGAATGAAATAGGAAAAACTGTTCTTGACGATTTAATAATGCTGCAGCAGGAGTCCAACTTTAACTTTCCCGCCACACGTTTTCTTTCTGACCTTCTGAGCTGCCTGAACTTTGGTGTGGGACAAGCCACCCTGGAGCTTCAGCAGCATCGTGGGTTCCTCTTGATCATGAGCAGCTTTTGGCATTAGAAGGCAGATGAATTTTGCTCTCACCCAGCTTGGGGCCTCTGAGGGCTGCATCTTGCTTGCTGCAGTGGTGGTGACCATCAGGGAGCTCTAGCCAGCTCTGTGGGGTGGGTGCTGAGGTCTCTCTGGAGGGTGGGGCTAGTGATGGCCCTGGTGGCTGCATGGAGCAGTAGCCAGAGCCCCACATTGGCTACCAGGACTGATCATGCCCTCTCCCCTCATCTTGGTGTGAGAGGCTCGCGGGGACAGGCTGCAATGCTGCCAGCTGCTGATGAGGTCTCCAGTATAAAGAAGGGTTTGCATGATGGACATTTGGGGGCTGTAAGTCCTTTTCCTGGGGCAGTCCTGTGCACTGTAGGATGTGTAACAGCATCCCTGCCCTCTGCCCAGCAGATTCCAAAAATGTCTCCAGAAGTGATGGAAGTTGCCCTAGGGGGCAAAGTCACACCCTTTACTTCCCCAATCCCTGCTCCTCTGGTTGCCGTGGAACTGCTGGAGAAAGCAAGTTCATGTTGGAAAGCAAAGCCCTGAACCAGAGCTAACTTTAGTTTGCATTTGGTTTTGCAGGATTTAAAAAAATGTGAATAGTTCCTGATACAAGTTAGTTGACTCCAAAATAAAGATCCTGTCTAAGTCTCCTGACTGCTCCCCTCATGGGGACATTCTCTTGGAGGTCATTGTTAGCTGTGTTTTCAGGGCTTTGTGTAGTTGATGTGCATCAAGGTAAGAGCAGTGACTCTTAGGGACACTAGAAACGCTGGGAATCTTTGAAACCAACTAGACAGTGCCGAGTCCATCTCAGACGATTCAGTCTGAACCCTTAGAGCAGGAGGAGGGACTGAGTCCTGAGTGATCCCAGTGTGCCACCAATATGAAGTTTGCTTTTAGCATCCTGAATTTTCTCAAAGCTATCAGGGAAAGAAAATGTAAAACTTCTCAATTTGAGAAAATGAAAATAAAATATTTCTGTTATTTGTCATTCTATGTTTTTACTTTATGTAGCCTTGATCCAAAGCAGCTAATTTTCAAACTTTTTTTTTTTTTTTTTTTAATTTTTGGTACTGAGGATTAAACCCAGGGGCTCTAAACTACTGAGCCACATCCCCAGCCCTTTTTATTTTTCCAATTTGAGACAGGGCCTAGCTAAGTTGCTGAGGTTGGCTTTGAACTTGGGATCTTTCTGCCTCAGTCCCCTGAGCCACTGGGATTACAGGTGTGTGTCACCGATCCTAGCAGTGTTTTTATTTACTTTTAGTTATTGCCCCATCCTGCTTCCTGGATCTTTTTCTTGCTTTTCTCAAGGCATGGAAGTCCAGTTGTACTCCCTGGCACCCCCTGCCCCTCCCCTGGGAAAAGCAGGTGCACTGGAGGCGGCAGACCTCTATGGGGGTCTCGAGGGGAAGGGGAGGTGGCACAGGCACATGGGCTGGTCAGCAGACCTGGGAGGTCTCACTTTGGTTCTTTCCAGGCCTTACGTCACCTAGGGTGGAATCAGATACCTCTAACCCCCATTCTTTTCCTGGGCTCCTGTCTGGCCTATAAAAGTCAAGTGCATGGGTCTGCTCGGTGGTGTCCTTGGGAGCAGCTATAAATACACCGTGGCCATCTTGTTCTTCATCAGCAGAGGAGGAGAGGTGTGCTGGCTTTCGGTATTAGAAAGAGGACCTTAGCAAAGAGCCAGAAGCCTCTTGGGCCAATTCTAGCCCCAACAATATGTCTTTCCTAGGTGGTGGGCCAGGGCCAGGGCAGGGGCTGCAGCACGTTTCAGTGATGGTGGAGTGGCTCCAGGGGTCCAGAGGGGCAGCTAGTCTGAATACCGATTTATACCTGACATGTTCATCGTCACACCACCCAGTCCTCTTCCTCTGTTTATGTCCCAGTTCTAGTAACAGTATTAATTGTTTTGCTAACATTGTCACATGACACCACATCTGATCTTCAGCCTTGAAACAAGAGAAGCGGAAGGGCCATTTCTGTTTCCTGGGTTGCTGTTGTTTTCATGTGTTTCAAAATCGTTGAGAAGGGGTGAGCGCCCTCGGTGTTCCCTGGTACAGTTTCTCTTGCTGCTTAGCTGGATAAGGAAATATTTTGAAGTTTCTCTTTGCTTTGTTTCCCCTCAGAGCCACCAACCCCGCCTTCAAGGAAGTGCTGTCACGGATCGAGTCCCATGAAGACTGTAGGAACCTGCCCATGATCTCTTTTCTCATCCTCCCCATGCAGAGGGTGACCCGCCTTCCTCTGCTGATGGATGTAAGACCCGATCTGTGGCCTGTCCCCTGGGGAGCCAGGCTACTGTAAACCCCGATGAAGCAAATTAGCCTTATTCCACTTAAACTGAGGCATATTCCTTCTGTAAAACCCTAATCCCACGAGAAAGTGCTCTTTGTTGGAAAATCTTCCTGTGTTGGATATCTCTGGAATTTATCTTCAGTTTATGCCTGTGCCACCCCTCTGGTGGAGGTTGATCACGTTTCCCACCCACCCGACATTGTTGAATTGAGAAGCGTATTGCTTTCTCAAGGACAGAGCCCTGGTTTCTGTTCTGGCTGAGCTGAAGGTAGTTTGCCCAGCCTGGTCATTAAGACCCCTCCCATTTGGGTGTTCCAGGATGCTCTAGGGCTTCTCTTTCCTATGGGAGGCATTACAGGGCACAAACCTGGGCTTGTTAGGCAAGGCATACTGGTTTTGGAAGCTTAGCATCCTGAGTATGTCAGTCAGAGTCCCTCTGGGAGCAGAGCTGGGCATGCTGGGCATGCTGGGCAGTGAGCAGAGGCTGCCTGGCACACCCTGCAGCTGGAGAGCAGCTGGCCCAGGGCAGAGGCCTGCATGCCAGGTGTGCCAAACTGCAGCAGCTAGCAGGAGCAGGGTGGGCAGTGGAGGACAGCCAACTCCACACAGGTCTCGCCCTGCCAGTGGGCCAGGCAGCATCTTATTCTAAGGGATTACCCAGGAATTGTTATGTAGCAGTGATTGAACTGCAAAACTTGAAGTTGTGAAAACCATGTTGCTTGTTCTCAGATGGGTATCCATCATGTTTAAGGACAGAATATAACTGGGTTATCAAAAGGAAAGTTTGAGACTATTGCTTGAACAGAATGGGACTCCAGAATCAAAGGAACCATTTTTGTCCAGTGCTGGCTGTTTAAGGTCTGAGCTTTTTTTGGGTCACAGACCCCTTTGGGATTCTGAGTAAATCTATAGTTTTCATTCCTAGAAAATTCATATCTGTACAGATTTTTATATAAACTTGTATGCCTGGGCTCCATCATGGGGTGCCTGCCCGCAAGGACATAACCAGGATGTTTCATGTTGCTTTTGTAGCTATTGATGGGTCATAAAATTAATTTTCAAATCACAGTTTTTGAAAAATGAAGTAGAGTGGAATATGAGGAGCATGATGTGCACATGGCTCATGATGTGGTTAAATGTTATTTCATTGAACGGTCTCGTTTATTTATGTGCACATGTGTGCTGGTTGCAATATCAATTTATTTCTTACGGTGGGTGGGTCATGGTAAAATAATAGGAGAACTCTCACGTAAACCCACTGTGGTATGTTCTGTGCTTCTCATGTGGAACAGTCTGAAGCCTGACTTTTTGGTACTCACATTTCAGGTCCCGATGGCTTGTGGGTTACCACACTTTCCACCCCTGCCTGATGCTGCAGACCTCTTCTTTCTGCCATGTGCGGGAATCAGGCCATCTGGGCAGAATCTAGATGTACTTAAAATATCATCTTTTTAATTTTAAAAATTTTTCATTTGGAAGTTTAATTAAATTTGTTAACCAAAAGGAACATTTTCAACAGTTAACATGGTTCTCTGGGCTTTGTGTATCATTTCAAAAGTTATAAGTACAGAGTGAATATCTCCTATTCAGAATTCTTGGGATGAGATGTTTCAGATACTGGATTTTTTTATTTTTGGATTTCGGAACAGTTGCTTATGTGCCCTGAGGTTATCTTGGGGAAGCCCACGGATAAAAAGGACATCTATTTATGCTTTATGCACACCTTCTGCACAAAGACTGAAGATAATTTTATTCAATTTTTTTTTTTTAAATTTCATGCATGGAACAAAGTTTCATGGTGTGGAATTTTCCGTTCTGGCATCCTGCTGATACTCAAACTTTTGTGGATGTTGGAGCATTCAGGATTTCAGATTTTCAGATTAGGCACAGTCAGTTTGTAATTCAGTTTACCTTGTGTTGACCGTCTTCAAGCTCAGTTTTACCTTAGAACTAACTTGTGCTGTATGCCAGGCGCTTAAATGGGAATTTTACGTGAATTGTTGTTTAACCCTTGCAGCAACCTATTATGTAATACTGACATTATTCCAGTTTGACAGATGAAGAAACTGAGGCCAGTACTGACCAGTGACTTGCCCAAGGTCGTGTAACTAGCACAGGGCCAACCTGGGGTTTGGAACCAGGCTGGAGTCTGTCCTCTTATGTGGCCATTCCCTGGACCGTGGGTGTAAAGATCGTTTCCCAGCTTTTTCACTTGGGTTTTAATGTCGTCCTTGTGCATCATGTTGGTGCAGCATGCCGTGTTCTGTGAGTGAGAGTACATTCCTGAGCGTGGTTTATTTTCCTAGGTGAGTCAATCCACCATGTTGTTTCTTCTTTATTGCAGACCATCTGCCAGAAAACCCTGAGGGACTCTCCCAAGTACGAGGCCTGCAAGAGGGCCCTGAAGGAAGTGAGCAAGGTGAGCACCGGCCCCGGTGGCCCTTGCGCCCCAGTGGTCCCCCGTGGCCCCGCAGTGGTCCCCAGAGGCCCCACTGCAGTCCCAGAAGGAGCCTGGTGTTTCTGTGGGTCAGCCGTGCTCGCCCCCTTGCCCTGCGTTCTCCACTTAAGCTGGAAAACAGGAATGTTTGCTGTGCGCAGGTGAAATTGGTTCTCCCTGCTCCAGACGGTCCTGGGTCACCACTGAGCCGTCTCGTCTGCTCCTGGTGGTGAATAGCTGCTGATCCGACCTCTCCTTCAACAAATATTTATTGAGTATCAACTACTGGGCTGGGCACGATGCCAGCCGCCAAAAATATGGCGATGAATAGGACCAATGTGGTGGCGTCACTCGTGATGTGTGCAGTGTAAAGAGGAGGTCGGTCAGTAAACAGAGACGGTGGCGAGTGACAGAGAGATGCTAGCTGAGGGTGAGCATGAGGACAGCCTCCAGCCAGGGCTCAGAGAGTGGAGGGACCCAAGGCCAACGAGTGATGGGGAGCCTGAGGAATCCAGGCCAGGAGAGGGCGGTGGGCAGGCAGCTGGCGTGGGAGTCAGTGACTTTGTCCTGAGCTGGTATAGGAAGTCACAGGGTATTGTGTGAAGGTGACAGTGGGGACAGGACCAGGGAGAACCCAGGTGTGGAGTTCAGGTATCCTTGATTCGGCAGGAGGCAAGTGCTGGGGAGGAGAGGAGCAGACCTGCAGGTGGGCTAGAGGTGGGTGTGGTGGGCACGGGTAGGGTCAGAGGTCAAGGCAAATGGTCTCTGGCTGGGCAGCTCACTCCCCCTCCCACAGGACAGAGGCAGGTGCTGTGAATCCCACTTTGCCCGTGGCACCTGTATCTGAAGGAGTGCTGATCTGCTGCACACCATCAGTGACTTCATTGCTCAGGACGCCTGGGGAGCTTCTCCCTTTCTAACCTGTCCTCAGGGCTACCTGGGTTCCTCAGAATCCCCCTCATGGGACAACGCCATCTTTTGCTAATGGGTTTGCTGTTGGGAAGTTTGAGGAATAAGATGGTGATCCACACTTAATAATGTCATTTTCTTACATTTAAAAAGTGAGGCTGGGCCTGGTGGTGCACACCTGTAATCCCAGTGGCTCAGGCTGAGGCAGGAGGATCACAAGTTCAAGGCCAGCCTCAGCAGTTTAGCAAGGCACTAAGCAATTTAGTGAGACCCTGTCTCAAAAGGGGATGTAGCTCAGTGCTAGAGCACCCTTTCCCACCTCAGTGTGATTGGTGTGTGTGAGTATGAGTGGGTGTGTCCTCTGGTTGTATTATAACCCTAGCACCTGAAACAGGAGGTGCTAAGTTTACTGCTCTTTTTCAATGAATGATGTATTGATAAGGGGATCTATTTCTGTGTTTGTGGGGCTCCTATTGCAGAAGGCCCCTCCTTGGGTTCTATTCATTTAGTTCCGTATTATAATCAGCATTTTATTTTATTGTAATGTGCACATATTATTTTATCTAACAAATCAGTAACATTAAAATGAAATTTCCAACCTTTATTATTAACAGTCATATTCATCTTCAGGGTCAGTGACTCTTTTGTGGACATTTTTTTTTTCCAGATTTTCCAGTTAATAAAAAATTAGAAATTAAGTTTGTTTTGATATTGACCAGAGAGTCAAGTACACATTAGGTACTTGGCAGAAGCCTGTGGTGGAGGATTCAGGGCTGCAGTTTAACTGACTTCCTTAGCATGGCCATCCTTGGGGTCCATTGGCCATTAGGCCCCCCCAAGACCTCCTCTTTCTGCACCCCATTTTTGATCCCATGCTGCACACAGCCTGGATTCCGCCTCTGTATTGTGGTGGTCTGATTCCTGCTGCTCTGGTCTGGAAGTGGGCAGGGGTGCAGCTGAGGAGGTTGAGTGGGGTTCCCAGCATAGAGATGGGAGCAGGGGACAGGAGAGGGCGGGATGGGTGGAGAGCATGGTGTTGGGGAACACCTGAGTGTCAGGGTGTGGCAGACAGAGCCTGTGTGCACTTGAAATTTCTCAGGACTTTTTTTTTTTTTTGGTGGTGGTACTTGGAATTGAACCCAGGAGCACTCTACCACAGAACTACACTCCCAGCCTTTTTTATTTTTTTGTTTTTAAAGAAGTTCTTGCCAAGTAGACCTGGCTGGACTTGAACTGGCCATCCTCCTGCCTCAGCCTCCTGAGTAGGTAGGATTACAGGGTACCACTGCGCTTGCTGAGGACCTTCTTTTCCTCCCGTCTGGCCACACTGCTTCTAACTTAGCAGAGCATCTTAACTGTGTAAAACTGAGAGTTCTTTACCCTTGGGGGTGAGTCCTGGGCCTTCCTAGGTGTTGTCAGTCCTGCGGGATCTGCAATAGAAGTGAGGCTTCTGCCTGGCTCTCCTAACCTCCTGCTTCTGTTCCAGCTGGTTCGACTGTGCAATGAAGGAGCCCGTAAGATGGAGAGGACCGAGATGATGTACACCATTAACTCCCAGCTGGAATTTAAAATTAAGGTATCCTTGTGCCTATGTTAATTACTCCTTTTGCTTAAATCTTATCAAAATAGGGACAGTTGAGGGCAGCCAAGTGAATAGGAATTTGCTTTTCAAAGAAGGGCCCTCAATTGGTAAGAGAGCCTCAGCTGAGGCAGTTCTGGCCCTGCCTCTCCAGACAGAAGCACCTTGCAGGCCAGGAGTCCTGTTATCTAAGGTGCACCTCCAACCCCTTGCTCCTATCCTAGGACACCAAACTTGAGGGAAGGAGATAGTTAAAACAGTAGAATTTTAGAGTTGAAAAAACACATTTGTTTAATATTTTCAAAATGTCTGCACACAGTGGTACCCCATGAGCTAGGCCAGGGTGTTCTAAATCAAATGAGGGCTTTTTTTTCTTTTCTTTTTTTTTAACCTTTGTAATAAACATTGTTAATGGAAACTTTTTATTGTTAAATTCATTGTTTTCCACAACTTTTTCTGGACGTGTGCTGCTGTCACTGCCTGTCTGATGCTGCTCTTGAATGGATGGCAGGGTGAACAAAGAGGAAAGTGACAGTTAGTGGCAGATCTAGGTCAGGGCCATTCTTTATTGGCTCCCAGTCGGGTTCTGAATGGGAGAGAGGGCTCGTGATTGTGGTGCTGATTAAGCAACTTACAATGACTGCCCAGATGTTTTCCTAGAAAAAGTGTTTCTAACTCATGCAGTGGAATTAGAGGGATCAGAATTTCATGGTGTTCTGCAGAAAGAAGGTTCTCTGTCACATTCCAGAGTTTTAGGACCACTCTTTTTTACAGTCACACCTTTTAAATTTTATCAATGAGGAAAATGAAGCTGGAGAGTAAGTAACTGACAGCAGAGTCACTAGGTGAGTGGTGGGAGATTCAGGAGCAGGGTCCAGGTGCCCTGAGTGGTAGGTTGGAGTGAACTTTTCTGTTCTAACCCCCCGACGGCAGTGATGGGGATGCAGAAACCTGGCTCAGAAAGGGAGATGAAGGGTTAGCTCAGACCACTTGGAAACACTAGGGAGTACTGATTAGAAATACAACATCTGAGGACCTTGTCACACCTCAGGGATAACAGCTATTTCTACCGTGTTCATTTTCAAGATGAGATTTGCTCAGATCCTCATAGCAGATTTCCTGAGCAGTAGGAGCTGTACAGGGCCACTCGGGAGTCACAGGAAAGTTCTCATTAAAGAAGGGACCCAGGGCGATGTGGTTCAGCAGGACAGCCTCAGCGCTGTGGGAAAGGCCCACCAGCTCACTCCAAATCCAGACATGTTAAAAGAAAAGGTGCTCATTTCATCTATCTGAAATTTCACTGTGAAGAGAAAAATAAAAAGCATAAAAAGGTAGAAAAGTAGGTAGCAAACTGGGAAGAAACAGTTATAACTCACATACAAGTGAAAGAGATAATGTCCCCTTTAAGTAAGATGCAAGTGATAAGCAAAATATTAGAAAATTACAAGTTAGAACGCAAAGATGCTTTACTTCACTGAGGAGAAAAATTGCCATTTGAAATTAGGATAAAGAATTCCAGCCTTTAGCTTTATACATGATCCAAAGGTTTGAGAATACATGTTATTGATGAGATTATAAGAAAGGGGAATTTTTGCATGTTGCTGGTAGAAAAGACTGTCACCACCCCAGTTCGGAAAATACCATCAAAATTACAAGTGCAACTTACTACCACCCAACAGCTGTACTTCTGAGAAGTCATTCTGTACTTTGTGTGTATAAAATGAAATAAATAATTATTGCAGTATTTGTAACAGCCAGAAGATTGGACATAGTCCCAATGTCTATCCAAGAGAATGATTCAATAAATCATAGCATTATACAAAACATACATTCTTACAAAATAACGAAACATACATTATTACAAAATAATGTCATATATAACTCAACCAGGCTTTCAAAGAGAGAGGTGAACGGGGGCACCCACATGTGAAGCCGTGTGTACACATCACTATTACGTATTGATTAATGCCTACTGTTGGTAAGGATAGATTTCATTACCTGGATTTTCAATCTTAAGTGACTCCTCTTTAGCTCACCCTTTCAGTTATGATCCAGTGACATTTTCTCACTGACTATGGGGTGATAGTTTCTATACCGGGGGGACCAAGGTGTCTCCCTCTCTCCTGGAGCATGCGTTCCGTGCTTCTCCAGTTGCACTGTGCCTGTGCTGCACCGAGATGGCGCGTGGCTGATGCTCTCGTTGTGTGAAAGCGCTTCTCGTGTTTGGCTGTGGCTGATCCTGTGGCCGTGACTGGGCTTGGCCCTGTGCTGTCTCTGCAGCCCTTCCCCTTGGTGTCCTCGTCCCGGTGGCTGGTGAAGAGGGGGGAGCTGACAGCCTTCGTGGAGGACACGGTGCTCTTCTCCAGGAGGACCTCCAGGCAGCAGGTCTACTTCTTCCTCTTCAACGACGTGCTCATCATCACCAAGAAGAAGAGGTGAGCCTTGGTGAGCCGCTGCCACCAGACCCCCAGCCCAGGAGTGCTGGACCCACTGGCCTGCTGGGGTGACCGCCCTTGCAAACCCGGGGAGGGGAGACTCGGCTTTTGCACATTGGGTATTGGTTGTGTCTGCACATCGTTCTCCTTGGAGGGCCACTGGTAATGGGGTGAGCCATCTAGCCGGCCTCAGTGTGGCTTTCACAGGGTGCAGGCCACAATCCTGAGCTGTTACCCTGTGTGGCAGTCGGTCCTCCACAGCCCTGGGTGGGCACTCTCATGGCTCCCATTCAGTGTCTTTCAAACTCCAGTCACAGGGCTTCTGTATAAAACAGATCACATGGCTAAGGGACAGTGCCAGTGCTCCTCGTGGCATACTTTGAAGTCCACTGCTCCTGATGACTGCTGATTTCAAGGCTCGCCCATGACCTGGTTGTGCAAACCGTACTCCCTTTACAAGGCACAGAGCTCATTAGTGGGTGGCCAGCTGTGGCTCACCTCTGCTGGTGTGCTCACGTCTGGCCCCTGGGAACTGGCCAGGAGGAGTGCCCCGGAGCCTCTGCTATAGTCACATCACAGACTATCCCTCCACGACACGCACAGGCACACACTCTACACCCTCCTTGGCTCTGGGAACATTTTTTATAAATGTGCCCAGTGAAGTATTTTCCTGCTGATTCTGCACTAGTATTTTATCTTCCCTAGAATCTGAACTTGGATTTTACAAAAATGTGACTCAGTAGTGTATTTCCATGTATGGAGGAAATAAGGATGTTCTGAACTGGTGGCATGTGACAGGCTAGGCTGGTTCACAGGGTAAAACTAAGCAGCGTGGAGAGTGATATAAACAACCCTATGAGAATAGGAAATAAATGTCCAGATTTATCATGAAATATCAATATCAGTGCTGCTTCTGAGGTGCTCACTTTGTAGCTTGATAATTTGAACTAAATTGAAACACAGATTGAGCTTTACCTCTATTTTTTTTTTTTTTTTGTGAGACAGGGTCTCGCTGAGTTGCTTAGGACCTCACTAAGTTGCTGAGGCTGGCTTTGAACTTGTTATCCTCCTGCCTCAGCCTCCTGAACCTCTGGGATTACAGGCATGAGCCACCATGCCCTGCAAGCTTTTCTTCTTTATCAGAACATATTATGAGTTGCTCAGCTATTTGGCTATATAGGCAAAGGGAAACTTTAATATTCTTTACTTTGAAAAGCCATTCTATAACTGAGACAAGTGTGTAAATATGCCAGTTTTATGAAAACAGTGTTTCCATATCTGCAAGGAGAGGTTATTTCTATGAGCTGAGGCAATCTAAACTTATAGTAGCTAAGTAAATTCCATAAATAAAGATTGAGAGAAATGGTAATTTTTGCATTCTTGTATTTTATATGGCTCTCCCATGAGATAGCATGTTTCCTTGGCTATGCGATGTTTTGCTTTTAGGCGAGGGTGATTATACATGTCTCTTCAAATGCCAGAAGTCTTGACTTTTGAACATCTTCCATTTGTTGAAATATTTGTTCCATCTCAATGGATCAAAAGCTTTAATTAATCTCTTGACTTAAATAAATATGGCTTAAATAAAATAGTATGAAGCCAATCTTAAATCGTAATGCCATTTTGATTTTGATGACTTCAGAAGCTCGAAGAAAATCCTCAGTGCAACTTATTTTCTAGTCTGTACAGACTTCTGGATGTTAGGACTAAATTCTGCACTGTCCCTGTTGGCCTACTGTACCCTCCAACACGGGTGAGTTAGCCATTGTGTTTAACATTGCCACCCAAACCACTCCACCTTCGTTTACTCAGGTGTGTTTGAACTTGTATTCGGAGCAAGATATTCAGCTCCAGGCAGGAGAGAGAGGGCAGCCGAGAACCTGCCTTTGCTTTTACTCTACCTGGGGTCTTCTGGCCTCCCAGTGAGCTCATCACGTTTTTGGGGTGCTCTCACTGAGGGAGTAGCATCAGAGGCTCTGCTTGCTTATGGCCGGAGATGTGGTGAAAGGTGACAAGCAGACCATAGACTCTTGATGAACAGGCTGGTTAAAAATGTACAGTATGCACAGCCGTATTTACACAATAGCTTCCAAGAGGCAACTGCAAATGCTTTGCATGCCAGAGATGGCAGCAGCGGAGATACAGGAGCTTTGAGGAGGGCTGTACGTGATACGTGGCCATGAGCTAGAGATAAGGAGTCACTTCCTGTGCCAGCTGAGGAAGGGTCCACCCTCCCGCTACTGAGTACAGTCCCAGGTGCAGCCCAGGCTTAGCTGCAGGGCCTCCAGTGGCTTCCAGCTACCAGGCATGGAAGGAAGCTTCTAGCTGCCAGGCATGGCTCTTCAGGAGGACATTTCTCCCCCTCCTCCCTTCAGACTGGCAGGTGGTTTATGCTGAGTGCATTCAGAGATTGCTGGGTGTGTGGCCCTTGGCTTTAAGGATGTGCTTTACCTTTTCTAAAAAGTGCCAGTTCGGTCTGACTGCCGTCCATGAGAAGGTGAATTCTTTGGTATTTGCAGCTGTGACTGGAAGCTGCCCGGGCACTACCAGGGCAGATAGTTCAGCTTGGTACCACTGACGATTGGGCCTGATGATGCTCTGTTTGAGATACCCTGTGCCCCAGGGAATGTTCAAAAGCATCCATGGTCTCTGCTCACTGTTGACTGGTAGCACCTACCCCTATTTGTGACAGCTGAGAGCATCTCCTGGAACCACTCTTAGAGCAATGGCAAATGGAATAGCTTCTCTTTGTGGCAGTAAGGTGCACAGGCCTGGACCTGCAGTAATAGTGAGGCTATATCATAAAAATGCATAAGTACTAGCTTGATGTACAATCCAGCTTGTGCCCAGTGACTTATTATAACAACCTGATTATAGACTGTAGTCATGTGTACAGCTAATGGGTTAGATACTGTTGTCCTTATTGTGTAGTTAAAAACTGAATCTGAGCCCTCAAGTGGTTCGTACTCCCAACAGGTATGTTTTGCAAGGCAGCTGACTGTCTCGTTACTCTTCTCATCCAGTGCCTTATATCTGGCTTTGGTCTTGTTTTAGTCAGACTTTTCACCACTGTGACCGAGAGACCCACCAGAACAATTGTAGAGGAGGAAAAGTTTATCTGGGGGCTCATGGTTTCAGAAGTCTTAGGCCATAGAAGACCAGCTCCATTCCTTGGGGCTCAAGGTGAGGCAGAACATGAAAGCAGAAGAGTGTGGCAGAGTCAAGCAGCTCACAGGATGATGAGGAAGCAGAAAGACACTCTACTCTCCAGATACAAAATACACACCCCAAGCCGTGCCTCCAGTTCCCACCTCCTCCAGCCATTCCCCACCTGCCTCCAGTTCCACTCAGTCAATCTCTATCAGGGGATGAATTCATTGATTGGGTTAAAGCTCTTCTTGTCTCACCTGTGAGCTTCTGGGGACCCATCACATCTAGACCATAACAGGTCTTCCTTCCCAGTTTTGTCTGAAGCCAAAGGCAAACTTTTGTCCTGGTGCTTGTTAGAGTCCTGCAATTGCTCTTTCAGAGACCCAGAGTGCAGTTTAAGACAATGTTTGCCTCTCTCACAGTTCAGTAGGCCAGAAGTCCCAAATTAAGATGTTGACAGTGTTCCCAGCCCCTCAGAAGGCTAGAGAAGAATCAGGCTAAGGGCTTCTGTCATCCCCTGACTTGTAGACCCTCCCTCTGCCTTCCATCCATGTCTCCATGTGGCCTTTGTCTCTCCAGTGTCTCTGTGCCTCTAAATCTGCCTCCTCTTCTAAGGACACCAGTTATTACCAGTGGTGTAAGCCCCCTGTAACAGGATGGCCTTAACTTGATGACATCTGCAAAGACCTCATCTCCACGGAAAGTAACAGGCAAGGTAGATCTATATTTTTTAAATTAATTAATTTATTTGGGATGCCAGAGATTAAACCCAGGGCCGTCACATGTTAGGCAAGCACTCCACCACTGAGCTATATAAGCTCCATCTGAGGTCTCTCAGATTGCTTTCTGTCCACATCTTCTCCATTAAACTCATTCCTTCTCTGGGGTTTATTCCTTCTGTAGTGAAAGGCATCTCTGTCCACCTCGTTGCTCCACAGTAACCCTGGAAGACAGCCCGACTCTGTCCTGTCACAGTGACCCTTGCCCAGTCACCATTCTTACAAATGGCTCATGAAATAGCTTTTCTCCATCTGTTGCCACCACCCTGGTCCCGGCCCCTTGAACTCTTCCTATGAGACACACCCAACTGGATTCATGGTGCCACCCTCATCCATTTTACATCCCACGGCCAGGGAACCAATTTAGAAGACAAACCTCGCCTCGTGCGGCAGTGCACACCTACAGTCTCAGAGACCAGCCTGGGCAACGGAGCAAGATCCTTTCTCAAAATAAAATAAAAGGGGCTGAAGCTGTATGTGCTCAGTGGTGGAGTGCTTGGCTAACATGTGAAGGCCCTGGGTTTAATCTCCAGCATCCCAAATAAATTTAAAAAACATAGATCTACTCGTCTGTCCCTGGCGAAACTGCCTGGCAGTCTTAGCTGGCCTTTTGTAGGAAAGCCTCAAGCCACCTCTACCTTGGGCAGTTCTTCACCGCCAGCAGCACCCAGCCGAGGCCTGCTCTGAAGGGTGCGCCTGGCCGCCTGGAGCCTGGAGGCTCTGCCTGCAGGTCGCTTGCTCACTGACCACAGCAGGAGGACTGACACTGACCAAGGGAAGTGGGCTGCAGGACTGCAGCGGCAGCTGTTTCCTTTGAAGTGAGCGTGCGCGTCACCCTGTCCATCCTGAAGGCCAAGGGCCGGTGCTCCCAGAGCTCTTCCTGCTTCCCAGGCGGCTCTAGGTGGACATCTATGCAGAAGGGGCTCTGCGGTCACAGCTGGAGCTATTAGCATCTGTCCAACTGCCACCCTGTCCTGCTCCTTGCCGTCAAGCCCTCGTGCCCAGGCCTGGGTGCGTCTTGGCTGACCCAGGACGAGTGTGGCTGCTATCTTCCTTTTCCAGCCTGCCTGT